CCCATGAAAATGTACTAGCCAGTTGGACCAGTGACTGTTGGCATTTACTGGCCCGACTGGAATTTTACTAGCTACGGCCTAGCGGAACAGTGGCAATTTTGCACACTGCATCGACATGGTCAGTGCAGCCACAAGTGATCAGGTTTGACAACTTTTTGCACGAACACTCTTATGTTTAAAAATACTAAACCCCATAAGCTTATCGATTAGTAATACACTTTAAGGGTATATGCTAGGATGTGAGTGCTAGGACACGCAGTTATGATATTCCGGATTCATGAGCTTGAAATATGTTTTGAAACAAGTGACAGACTTTTCCTTTGCATCGGGACATGTTAGATCTCGACAGCACGAATAATAATGCTATGAAATCTAACTGAAGACATGCCTTGAGCACTTCCGATAGTGGTGGCCATTTATACTATTCCTGAATTGTTTCAGTGTTACTTGTAGTTTGCGGAAATGTATTAAGTTCTGTACTTGTTTTTGTTCTGGTGGGTCTACCATGACACTGACGAACTCGACGTCATGATATGGTATACGTGTTGTCTCCTTTACCGTCGTATCGGCTGTGGTAGTGGTCTCCTTTACCGTTGCGTCCGCTGCATTTGGGGTCTCCTTATCTGTTATGTAAGCAATAGTCGTTGTCTTCGTCACTGTTACATCAGATGTAGTGGATGTTTCCTTTTCTGTCTCATCAGCTGCAGTTGTGGTTTCTTTTACTGTCTCGTCAGAAGTGGTTGTGGTCTCATTTACAGTGGTGGCAGCACTGGTCGTGGTGTCACTACCGGTCGCGTCAGCATTGCGGGCTCTTCTGTCGCTTCAGCTGTTTTATTGTCACAACGTCGTCTAAGATGTGGTCGTTCTCTCATCCACTCTCATTGAGTATTTGGCAGAGTGGATGAGGCGGGTGATGCTTTCTCCTGTAAGATGGGTTTCTAGGTCAGCATATATGTCTTCAATTTTCCTTCTAAGGATGGCATGGACTTCGTCTCTTGGTGCATTGGTGAATAGATCAACCACAACATATCTGATAGGTCTACACATGGGATCCCCTCTCTCCAGCATCATCATCATCGAGACCTAAATGACAGAACTAGAAGGCACGGCCCTTCTTACGTCATCCGTCTCACCCATATGCTGGTTCAGGAAAGTAGACGACACTTTTGTCATAATCATATCCACCGATGATCCCATCTGCTTTCTCAATCACCTTAAATCCCAACATCCACGCATGAAATTCACAATGGAAGAAGAAACCGACAACACGCTACCATTTGTCAATGTCCAAGTAGAAAAAGACATAACAAGCTTCACACAAGTGTCCATAAGAGACCAACCCAAACGAACTAATATCTTCAGTTCTCATCTAATCACCCACTACAAGTCAAGACAGGTATAATCGCCACCCTAGCCAGAAGAGCAAAGAACATCAGCCCCACGACCCAAGCCTTTGAAGTCGAGTTAGAACACCTTCGTCATGTCTTCATAAACGTTAATCAGTTCCCACCTAATTTAGTGAACAAAACCATCCAGTCCACCCTCAACCCAAAAGACAAACCACCACGTCAGCAATCAGCCGCATTCATCAACAACCACCATATCAGCAGACTACTAAACAGCAAGCCTACATAGATGCTGTGTTCAAGAGAGGCACCTGAATTCAGCATATTCTACAAGCCAACGGTAAACCAGGTACAAGCAACAAAGAAGACCCTTCAGGCGTTCTCAACCACCTTCAATACGAAAGTGGTGATTCGTGCATAGGGGGAACGTCCCGCCCCCTAAACCTGAGAATATTTTTCCATCACAAGGGATAAGTATTTCAATGTAAAAACTGTTAAGGATAATTTTACTAATGTTAATTATCATTGAATCATTGACTTTTAAAAAAAATATGGAATTGTTAGATAAATTTTGATTACAATTGCGTAAATAGATAAATGTTTTATGATTAGTAGTCAAAATTAACAACTGATATTGCTAGTGGTTGTATGCTCGAAGGGGATTAAAGTATTGTAAAATCATTTTCCTCCTGAGAGGGTACGTAAGTCCCAAAACAATTATAGTTAATTTAAACGTACTACTATTCTTAACCGCAGCATGTGTGTTATTTTAATATGGGCTAGAAAAATTGCTAACATCTGAAGGGATGGTCTTAATCCAGCTAGGGTCCACGCAGGAAGCAAATGTACTGTAAGTCCCCTTGGTCCCTAGTATGGTGATCTACCTTCAGTTTTTGGCAATCTATAGTGTGTTGTTATATTGTATTGTCCTCTGTCGTTACAATATTTTAGATTGAATTACTAGTTATACATTTATAACAGTGATAATCCAGTTGTTTTACTGTCCTTCATTGACAGTTATATTTTTATAACTTACCTTTAATTATTAAAACTATAACTTGATTTAGTCACGATATGGCGGACGTATTGCCAAAGTGACTTTAAATTATAACTCGCTCGCTCACTAAACCTGAGAATCAATTAACATCAGACATCTGTGTGCAAATACAAATTCAAGAAAGACATTGTGTGACACTCGATTCTGATTGTCTGAGAGCTCACCAAAACCGTACTTAAATGACAGGTTAAGAACCGCTAATTAGAGTGACCGATTGACCGCGTATGAATACAATGACCTCGTTGACTCTTTTGTTTGTAAACAAACATGTCGGACATCGTGTGTGGGATGCACCATCGTTACTCTGCTCTCGCATTCTGGGGTAGAAGCAAGGGAAATAGTTAAGATTCCTGGCAGAGGTCCTCATAACACTGATTCGTCGGCAGTGCAAAGGCGGCAGTATTCCGCCATACTTGGTCTAAACATGACACATCCTAACATGTCCGCGTCCGTCCCGCCGTAATGCCCAGTCCTTCCAATTCTACTTCCACTGTCGATGTTTCCCACACCAAAGCTGCCATGTCAGGCCTTTTCCAATTTGGGAATAACAGAGTGGTTATCAACAATTACTTCCGAGAATAAAGTTAGCGGCGGCTAAACTTAGTGAGTTCACTGCTTGAAATGGGGCGAGTCAATTGTCATACAGCAGGGGAGATTAATGATTCGCTTGAGAAATATCAAATAATCTTTCTTGCTCACTGTATTAACTGTTGTGTTTTTGTAATCTGTATATGCTACTTGTTACAAATACAAGGATATCAGTTCCTGATATAAAGTATTTATGTTGTTGAATATGTCTTCTTTTCTTCATTACACAACTTGTCCCTCAACTGGACGAGTCCAAGCAATTTCCAGGAAAAAAGGCCCCTTCACGCCTTGCGTTCTTGCGCGCCAAAATTTTAAAACGCTTTTCAGCCGTTCCAGAATGAAGATATTAAAGCGTTTGTTTTAAATTACATCTAACGGTCTGAATCCAACGATAAAAATCCGCAGTATTGAAAACAGAGTAGCTTTATCTTCTAATTAACTCACTCTGTTTTTCAAGTATAGAACGTTTTTGAAGTGGGTGTATACCATCCATCTGTTTCAAAGTGTGTCAGTCTCTGTGATATGACTGACTTGCTTTCGGGTATATAAATATGTACTCTATTGATCAGCTTGGCACTACACTGGTTATCTTCCATACATGTGATAACGTTAGCAGAGTCACGTGACATATACCAAGAAACGGACGTGTTGGAGCAAGTAGGGTATAAGTTGGAGTACATGGTGTCAATATATCAACGGTCCGAACACGTACATTACTCTAACTTTTTCACTGGGATATTTCCATTTTTAGGCAAATTTTGTCAATGGCTGGTGCTATCGGCAGGTCAGGAAATGCTTGCCCTTTCCTCGAATACATGGTTCATCAATGCCTTTCAGTGTTAAACTCGTACAATGTTCACAGCTATCCTTACACCCGACGGAATGTGTTGTGAATATAGTTGATACTGGTATTCTTTTGCACTCCCATATTCCATAAAAGAACTGGCAATGACAGTGCTTGTGTCCTTTACACAGAGATTCCCCTTGAATTTTATTTTTTATCCCCCGTGCACGTCGATTATATTGAAGTAAAAACATCAGTAAAGTCTTACAAATTAACCCGTGACAGAAAGACGAAACACGCACATGCCCGCGCAATAGTACATGTGCACATGTATAATAAATAATTTGGAATAAAATCACATGCTAATAATAATAGCAGTGAGTGAGTGAGTAAGTATGGTTTTACGCCGCTTTTAGCAATATTCCAGCAATATCACGGCGGGGGACACCAGAAATGGGCTTCACACATTGTGCCCATGTGGGGATTCGAACCCGGGTCTTCGGCGTGACGCGCGGACGCTTTAACCACTAGACTACCCCACCGCCCGCTAATAATAATAAACATAAACACAACTCGAACAAGATGCATCATTTGAAATACAAAATAGTTTTATTACAAAAACAATAACAAAATATTAAAATATACAACAACCAAGGGGACATTCTAAGGTGCATTCCTTGTGGGGATTGTGTGGTATCCAATCAAAATTATCACATGTTTGGGACAATCTTTATTAAAAAGCGACCAGTCGGTGAAAGACCTTTCATTCCCAAAATGTTACATCCATTTCTTGGATATTCAAAATTTAACATCGTACATATTCATTAAACTTAACTTAATGATTAAAAAAATGTTAAAAATTAAATGATCATCAAATTACAGATTTGTAAAAACATGGTACGGAACGTTACCCCCCTGCAAAAGAATTACATGGACGAAGACACTGCATGAGCATACGCGAATGTGTCTTGTTCTGTTTTCTCCAGTAATATAAAAGGCATCATTCCTTTAGCCCCCGCCCCCCTAGCCCCTTGTTTTTGCAAGCCACAAATTAGTACCTCTAGCCCCTCGCCTGGCTGTTCTGTTAACTGTACTCACTCCCCTGTAACGGGATTAACTGTAGGCTAATGCTTAGTCTCTGAATATGTATAATTTTGATAGTAACAAACCCATTTACATTGAAAAGGAGTCCCATGGGAGACCAGAGATTTAGAGGAAATCTAGACTTGCTTTATTTAGGGCTTTAGCACTGCAGAGAGGGCTTGGCAGTAGGGAAAAATGTGGTTCAGGGACTGTGAGACAGACTAGATTAACTGCTATTAAGCTCGTTAGGTTAAACATGTACGTCATGTGAAACTGTCACTCAACTGGGGCCTGCTGGGTTATCTATCCCTTGATGCTCAGATGTACCGCTAGTGGATGGCGTGACAATAGGCTGTATGTCTGATAGTGGAACTGCCTGACAGTATGGTGGGGGATCATCCTTCACGACATCATTGTAAGAAGGAGGTGGTGGAAACATGAACGGCAGAGCAATAGAAGCAGTAGACGTAGTTTGCGGGTTGCTGGGGACGTTGATGAAATAGACGGTGCCTTCATATGATCTATTCCTCTTTTGTTGGTCGTTGGGACTGGATTTCTTCCTGAAACAAAGTCCAGAGCAGCAGCAGGTTGCAATACCCACAGCCGTGATACCGCCAAATACACCTCTAAGTATGGCTGGGATGTTTGTGGACGCGGCAGCTGAATAAGAAACAAAATACTAAATAGAACGAAATAAATAATAAAGCAAAAGCAGGGCAGGCAAAATCAAGACCGTTTCTAAATATGGCATTCTCTGAGGCCCTAATCCCCTAAAATGGGTCTATAGTCATTGTTAAAAGTCGTCTGCTTTAAGATCTTTTAAGTATTGTTTTGAGGTGGAATCCTACACGTTTGGTAACATATATATCATTGAAACATTTTTTTGCGCTGTGTGCTCTACTGCGCTTCATCACAGAGGTAAAGAAAGATGATGTCAAACCCTGATTTGTCTGCTATTGCCATGGTTGTGGAGACTTCAGTAGATGTTTAATAACGGGGTAGGTTGTCGTGTACAAAATGGGAACCGTAGTGTTTTAAACTAGAGTTTATATACGAATTTACATCACTGTATGAGGCTGAGTCATCGAAATACCGGCGTGATATAGGTGCCAATCACCTTTAAATCAACTTCACTCTGAACTGACATTGGTCAAAGGACAATTACGATGAAACGACAATTACATGTACACCCGCTAAACCCTGGAAAAACGTTCTGGCCAAGTGGGACAGAGCTTGTCTGTTTTCCTTAAGGCTTCTTTGAGTGAGTACGTTTTGTCCGCCACTTTTATCAGTATTCCAGCAATGCATTCTGAAATGAACGAGTAAAACTAAAACACGTACAGCTATATGTTGGTTCGCCGGCAGTGAAGGACAACTTAAATCCCGAAAGGGAAGTAGAACCATCGGAGTGGAACTTAACCTTCATTGTCTGCCCTGCTGTCTCTGTATTTGGTCCATCTCTTCCACACCATCGACCGATATAGGTTTCATAAATCGTGACTATTGGCAGAAAATAGCATGTGAGAAGATTATAGTAATTAAACAAACAGTCAGGTAATGTTGCAAACATTTGTTAGGAGATACATTGCTTAACAAGTCTATAATGTTTTTATTTGGGTATGACATTTAGTTATTCCAAATGACTATTTTACTCTACTCTCTATGCCTCAATTATAATAACATAAACTAAAATAATCGTAAAGAATATAAATAAGATCTCGATAATCGGACGGATCACAATGATGAATCCAAATGACGCTTTCAAGCAAGACGTATACTAAGCTACGTCAATGAGGACATTACATCCGTGTAAATGGAAACGTGCCACCTTTAAAGACACAGACGTCGCTAAGGTGTTCAGCTTAAATTCAATATAGGCAATTGTCTCTTTCACCCATTTCTAGGGTAAGAATGATTAATTCTAAGTCATTACCATCGTACAGCCGTACATAATCAACGGAGCAGCTGCTGTCGTGCTCAATGTTGAAATTCACCGCTTCAACATGGATTACATATCCATCAATGGATGTGCTGATTGTCCACTCACAGTTTGCATTGCTAAAATTGAAGTAGACAATAGTATTAGCCATGTGCTCTGCATGTACATATGAAAATAACAGAAAAAATAACTAATTATAGCATGATCTGACAACCAGTGTTTATACTCAATATGACAGACATTGCAATTATATATGCTTCATACAGGTCATATGAACTGATCATACTTAGGCAACAGGGTGTACTGACTGCAAACTTTCAGTTTCCATTCTCGCTGGAATTAAAATTTAACAATCTCCTAATCACGGAATGCCACAGTATGTATCCCTTCTCCTGGATTGTTGATTACTTTCTGACCGAGTTAATTTAAGGAAGGACAATAATATTTGGATGAACAACGTATGTATTAACAAAGAATTTGTTCATTCTCATGCTTACTTACAGCGGCGACTTCTAAATGCCTCTCAAAGAAGATGCTTTAATTCATACGATTGTTTTTTTATGGAAGTATTCTAGGTACAATGTATCATGTATTGATCGTTGTCCAAGTCAATTGTATTATTGTTTGTGCATTTCTTTCAGTTCCTCGAGATATGAATCGAACTATAAGTGTCCCATATACTTACTCGGGATAGGACAGAGGATAATTCGGTGATTCAATATATTTTGTCTCATAGCTTATCGTATCATCTTCGCCACACTCTGAAACAAGGAATTATCTCATTAATATTATACAGTTCTGCAACACTGGGTCCGTGTGAAGTTTATGTGACATTGAACGAGTGAGCATCTATTAACGTCGCCTTTAGGAATATTTCAGCAATATCGGCGGCAAGGAACACCAGAAATGGAGTAGTAGTACAATGGGGATTCTGCATCACTTTGTGTTGTAAGGGTTATTGATGTCTAAATCCTGTCCCATCGATGATAAAAAATGTGTGTTGTCTATGTGACCATCGTTGGATGCGTCCTTGCTTTAAAGTATTTTTCTTCCCAAAAATAAAAAAATTGTTTTCTACAGCAACGGGAGGGATTCGTACGCCAAAACTCAGTATTTGAAGTCCACCGTCTTTCCTTCACACCAGCAAACTGGCTCTGCGGGTGTTAGTGCATTAAAGCTATAAATAGCTTATGCGCCTTCCAAACCGATTCTAAAATTATGGATTGTTGGTTCTAAAACTGTTTTGAGTGTCCACCGATGTATTTATCGTGTTCAGTGTTGTTTAGACTACCTACGAGCATCGTGTTCGTATTTTGTTATACCTTGATTCGAGGTAAAAAGCCTTAAATGGTGTATATCTCGCCAGCTAGAGCCAGCTTAGTTATGTTACGTTGATATCTACAAAACAGTTCAGTGTTAATCTCTCATGAGATCTTTGTTCTTGGTAAGGAAGGTTTGATTCTATCAACTTTGTTTTCTCCTCTTCGCTGATGTCAGCGGTTTTCCTAGACTTGGTTCGAATCTCCTGTTTCATTCGGTGATATTTGGCGATTTCCGACAGCACCAGACGAAACTCTTCCTCGGAGATTTTGCTATCAGAGACCTCTGTCGAGATATGATCATCGATCGTGTTTAACTTCGATTCGGCTGGAACCCTGATTTCATCGTGTTTCGATGCTTTACGTTGAATCCGACGTGAACTGAATTTAGGGGCTACTCCCACCAGTCCCGATATCCCGGCTGTTATTTCTAACCCGAGGGCGACAGGGGCAGCTATAATGGTTGATAATAAGCCGACGCCAAGTCCCATGCTGGCTAGTATCAGGGCAGTGTCCACGCCGTCCAAAGCATTTGTGGCCCTATGGTATTTTTTGCGCAATCCGATCCGCATGTCGCGTTCTTGTTGCAGTTGACGTCTCACCTCGCTGATTTGGCACAAACGAAAACCATCCACAGTTTCGAGGGTTTGAGCCACTTGGTCCATGGCTGGATACAATCCCATCTCGAGTATAATATAAGGTAGGAAATAAGCTTCAATTGGTCCTCCGTCAATCGTTGATGAATATACTTTAAGCTGACACATGAGGTACACATGCTCGGTTAAATAAAAGGACTGGAGTCCAATAAAAGACTTTTTTCGAAAATCATGACCCCCCGAGGTTTGAGGAGGGGGCTGTTCCTGGTTGTATATAAATACGACAACGTTTATTTTGATGACGATCATGCCAGCGTATGCTTAACCCAGTGAGAATGTTTACCTCTTCTGCGGGTGCATCTCCAACAAAGACTCCGATACTAAGGGTAGAAAGTTGTATCACACTGAGCCACGAGTCTGGCACATCAGTATATCTTAGTAAATGTAACGTTGTTTGTTTATCATGGGTGACTAACATATTACCTGTTTGATCTGGTCATGGTGCTACGTACATCCATGTTTCAGGAGACTCAAACCTCCCTTGTAGTATCCCCTTATTGTTTAGTTTGATGACATTATTATCCTCATTCATGACAATATAGGGGGGAGTTCAGGACAAAATTGATGATCCAGTTCAATTGAGATTCGATGATCACTTCACTTCGTTGGTACACATTGTTTTGTAAGTGCAATACATACAAGGCGTTTTCCGTACTGGGTTGATTGAATCCTTGCGTGTCCCCGAGATCGGCGAACGCAATGGTGGCCTGGTTTGAAACGTCACCCATGGTTATACTCGTATTAGGGAGTGAGTGAGTGAGTTTAGTTTTACGCCACACTATTCCAGCTATAAGGTGGTGGTCTGTTATTAATCGAGTCTGGACCAGACAATCCAGTGATCAACAGCATGAGCATCGATCTGCGCAATTGGGATATTAGGGAAGAGCCTTCAATTGGGTTTTTTTTTTGGCGAACCTCATTTGTACTACTTGACAGACGGGCCAGTTAGGGGATTCGTGTGAGAGGAATTGCAAATCGTCCTACACGACACGGTATTACCGCCTTATTAAAGATTCGTCTATATACATAGCTATCATGTTGACATTGATCGAGAAACGGTTGTTACGACGCGTTGGGGTGGACCTCAATGGGCTCAATATTTACTCAGCCCTACGTCGAGTAATAAGTCGAGGGAAATTCACCACCCTGTATGATAGTTTAGGTCTCGTGGGTACCGAACGGTTACAACGTCTCATGGATACTTTAGTCGAGTATTGCCTCGAAACCTTAGATCACACCGCCCCGTACTCAACCTACTCCTTAGCCTACTTCGAGGAATTTATGACAGATCCCATCCATAAAGTCATCGCTCAGTATTACGGCTACGTTAAAAACCAGGACGCATCCAACGATGGTCACATAGACAACACACACATTTTTTATCATCGATGGGACAGGATTCAGACATCAATAACCCTTACAACACAAAGTGATGCAGAATCCCCACTACTACTAATGGGCCACACTCATTTACCCATGTGAGCATCGAACCCGTGGCGTCGGCCACAAGGCTACCCCACAACACATCTGTGATGATGACGATGCTCTGGGAGATACGTGACCATTCACCTTTTGAAGCACTACAAAAAGGGAAGCTTTGATAATATATACATATATCATGTGTTACTATTTCCTTTTAAAAATAATCAATGCATTCATTGTCATTGACGTGATGGAATTCTAATATCATTTATATCATTTAATTTATCACTTTATCAGCAATTCCATCAAGGTAGCGTTGTTATTGACCATACCAACTACTTTTGTACGTATATATAATGATCATGCCTTTTCGGTGTTTACCATACAACAAATATATAAAATCAATCCATATACAGTATACTACGGTTAACACGAACTCAAGGGACCACTAGTTTTAGTTTTACTTCGTTATAACCGTAGTAATTCGAGCACACAATGCAGCCAGTGACCTGGGCCAAAACATCCCGAGCTGGTTTAATCGGTTGGTTCGTTATAAACGTATTCATTGTAAACGTAGTTTATTGTGTACACGAAAGAGTAGCCAATACCTTAGTGGCATACACACAAATGATATAACAGAGTATGACTGAATGCAATTCGTGTGTCCTTTTAGGTGGAAGAAAATAATGGAATGATCAATAGCATTATTTTTTAAACATAAAAATTGTTTGCAGAGATGTGTATATATTTCTGGTTCTATGGAAAACTAATGTGGGTTGTCATGTATAAAGCAACGCATGGTGAGTCCACCCTTTGCTGATTTCATTTCAGGAGAATGTAAAAAAGTGTAAAATAATCCGAGAAACATGAAGGCTTACCAGAAGATATACATTCTTCTCTGAGGAAGGCAGTCAGATTCCTGTTTTACACATATTTACATGAGTGTTTTGGTTGTTTGTTATTTAGCGCCACACTCAAAAATATTCCAGCTACAAGGTGGCCGGTAAATAATCCGAGTTTGGAGCAGACATCTTTACATAAGGCCACACATCATGTCCAGCATCAGCATAAGATTAATCATACCCGATGTGTCATCGGTTTTTTTCGTCAATTGATTTGAAAACAATGTTGGGGGAAAAATGTGTTTAAATGCGTTAGTTCATGAAAGAGGAAACGAATATACATTGATATAGAATCAAGCACCTTTCGTCAACGCAATGTATTTCAGAGAAAATCCTTTGTCTGTGATAGAACTGTCAGTGCGGAAAGTGATGGTCATGGCGTTGCGGGAGCTGACGATGTAGCCGGTGACGTTACTACAATATGTACCCAACCAACTGGTGTAAGACTGGTAACCTTGAAAAATACAAAGAAGCATTGTGTTGTCAGTTAAAAGAGATATGCAATATAGAAACACTGAACTCAAATTCAAGCTGAGAAAACTAATTATTGACCAGTGGTAATTGCAAAGCAATTCCATTCGAAGAAAATATGACTAAAAGTATATGTCAGTACTTTTGTAAAAAAGAACATTGCACTTACCATCTGTGAAGAGCACGTAGTTATTAGAACATGATGAATCGTAATCCATAGAAATAGTTTCAACTTCAACCGTTACTTTATATCCAACAGGTGCAAAGACTGTCCACTTGCAGTACATATTGCTGTTAGGAAAGAGATGAAAAGATTACATGAAATATAGCACTGTGTTATGACGGCAAGTCAAAACAATACACAAAAGCTTGCTGCATCAACACAAGTTTCAGCAGTTCCAATATCCTTTTGTCCCCAACACTCTCAATCAATATTAAGTTTGTTCTACCTGATAAATCTCTATAATCCCAACACTTTGAATTTAGCAATTTCAAAACAGATCGCCCTGCAACATTTCTCACTAGGGAAGGTGATAAATAGTATGCATTGTTGGCTATGCTTGATGTGCTTTCGTGCAAGAAAAGTCATCAAGGATTAAGTGATTCCTTCTGGAGGGGCTGTGAAGGTGCAGGGCTAGAACAGACCATTTTCGTATGGAAGGAATTACTGTATTAACTTGCCAGTGATAAAAACCGGTTATCAACTGAGATTATGCATATATCTACTTACTTGTTGTAGTTGTAGTATGGGTACCCAGGGGATGACAAAGACCTCCAGGAATATTTGCTGGCGCTGAGCATTGAACTACCGCAGTCAGAAACATGCAGTCTCTCTGAAATAAATAAATTTGAAAGCGATGAATGTTTCAGTCACAATTGCACTTACAGTTGGTAAGCGCTTTCAGAGTTATAAACGATAGGGTAGTTTGTAGTTGAAAAGGCAAATAAACGCATTGATTATGCAAATTTACAAGTATTACAGAAATAGCTGGTAAAGTTCATACAAGATACAATTTTCATTGAAGATCGATACATTTTCTATTGACTCCCTGCACCTGCATAATTGAGGGCGTTTTTTTATTTATACAAAGGTAAAGTGTTTAACATGTGATTTCCCTGAACAAGGGATCAAGTAAATATGATGTCTCTATCGTCAAGGCCACCCGTGAAGATCCGGGTTAGAATTGATCTTCAGTAAACCAGGTTGGTCGTAAGAGGCGACTACCGGGATCGGGTTGTCAGGCTCGCTGACTTGGTTGACACATGTCATCGATTCCCAGTTGCGTAGATCGACGTTCATGCTGTTGATTACTGGATTGTCTGGTCCAGATCCGATTACTTACAGACCGCCGCCATATGGCTAGATTATTGCTGGGTGCGGTGTAAAAGTACACTCACTCACTCACTCACTTCCATGTGACAGAAGATGCGGAGAGATCTGATAATCCACAGTCATCAGCTGTAACAGCCAGCCGAGTGAAAAAATAAACACAATAAAAATAGGTCGCAGTTAAACAAAATGTAAATTGACGATTTGTGACGTGATGATCCAAAGTCTTTCAGTTAAAAGATCCCCTGAAGGGATAACAGTGTAAAAATAGCTACTCACACAAATTATGTTATTCTGGTCACCAGGAATGTATAGTTTCCCATTGAAGACTTTTGTAAAAGTAAAAAGACATTTGCTAAGCTTATTTACAGTTGCTGAGATTATTACCAGATGAGTACTGCAAACGAAAGCCTCCTCCTGAGCCAGCAAGATCTGAGTGAAACATGATGGTCATATGGTTACTTGAGCTGACGATGGGAACAGACCTACGTTCACAAATCTTTGCCAGTTGGCGAGCGTCGTTGGTCGTACCTTAAACGTAAATGTATCAATTGTGCATCTTTAATTAATTAATGAGTTCAGTTGTACTTGTAAATATATTTGATTTATTCACTATGCAATCAAACAACAAATACGTCAGTTAGTTTGGAAAGACCTAAGTGAATTATTCGTTACCAAGGTTCGATACAACAGTAACGGTAAACAAATACTGATGATATATGCAGGGAACAGTATTGTTCTTCAAGGCAGCCGTATGTTCGGAACATAATAAAAATGATACAGTTATGATTACTGTTAGAAATACAACATTTTTTCATGCACTATATCCTCATCATGAATGATAGTTGATAAAACGAACCTTTCACTTGAGTTACTTGATAATTACTTACATAATTGAAGATTGCTTGGCATACCTAAAAATGCCAAAGACTGTCTAAAAGCAAAACGGTCTCATACAGACAATGTCCCTGCTCACGATTCCTCAAAACTGCACGTGCATACCACTTTTTTTATCAATGACATTTTCAAGCAGCTTGACACATTCGAGTGTAAGCATGCATTAATGTTTTCGAAGATGAATTTTGGCGCTGTGCATTCCTTCCATTTACACTAATCACCATTGCAATGGCGAAATTATAACATTCACTCACCAATTTTGAAAAAAAGTAAGAATTTGAAGTTTCATATACCATTATTATCTATGTGATTCTGTTTTGGGAGGGTATAGATAAAGTAGTGATCATGAAAATATCAAGATTACACTTTTTTTCCTTGTCTCATGTCAAAGAACTTTTGCTACGACTGCTTTCCTCATTACCAAGAGGAACACAACATGCGTCCTAAGATTTACGTACCATCTTTGAACAGTAGATAATCAGCCACACACGATGACACCTTTTCCAAATCAAGAAACAAAACTCTCACTGTGATCAGGCTTCCAGGCGCATTCATAGTCCACTGACAGTCCAATCCCCTGCAAAGAAAAAGAAACATATTCCGAAACTAAGACACAAAACTCATACATATTCCTTAAACGTGATAAAAGCATATTTACATTTGGTGACATTATTATAGATCTGTCTAGAGTTTTATCTATATTTGTATACATCTTTTAATCTGGCGAATTGTATTCACGTGAACGGCCTGAATCATGCAGTCATTTACATCAGCTTATTATAGCATTTTACTTACTTTACGTAGTTGTTTGGATAGCCAGGGGAGACAATCACCATCGGACTGTAACCTGCGGGAAGCGCGACTTTGCACGTTGTTGCTGATAATGGAGAACTGTAGCAATTGTAATTTTCTTTTTGGTTTTGCTGTATCACCAAGTATACGCGTTTGTGTTGTGTTGTTTGTGTGTGTGTGTGCGCGCGCGCGTGTGTGTTCGTGCGTTTGCGCGTGCTTTTGTGTGTGTGGTTGTTGTCAAGTCCCTAGACATTTTTACAATAGACAAACGTCTTATTTAAACTCCCCAGGAGGATGTCTGATAAACACTCAAGAAATCCAGGTTGGGAAAATGTTTTATGAGTATAACCTACCATGCCAAAAAACCCAACAAATTAACGTTTTTGAGCTGACTGCCTGTACCATTATTATCAGCTGTGTTGACATCAGTTAAAATTGGAGTCAACAGTAATCACAAAACATACGTTTCTTGAATTATAGGCTTATTCTAAAGATATTTGTCCGCACTTTACCATGTTGTCCAGACTGTTACCGAAACTTCATAATGAATATATGAACTAATCACGTTTAGAGCTTTACGTATTGATTCATACAGAAATAATACATACGCAAAATATGTCTAAACCGAGAGCTAATGTTGTCATAATTGGCAAACATCGTTGGTATACAAAATGAATGCTGCGTGGAGGCGAGGCGTCAATGCCAAAGACGAAGATCTGTTATTACTTAACTGAATGCACAGAATAACGCAGTATTAACATGACAGTATGTATTCGCATTTAGAAAACAGTAACATTGAGAGTTTGGAGCTGCCATCATGTCTCATAATGTCTTCGTAAAATCATGTTCTTTCACACATTTGTCAACGCTACTACGATGTATGAAATAACATTGAATAAGTGACTACTGTCATGTGCATAGTTTTAGTCATTTACACAACAATTTTAAAGTTTTTACTGATAGAATTACTATCTTCTCACATTTTCTTTGATATTTTGTTCAACACACACTTAAAGACATTTCCTTGGCGACAGAATTCCCCATGCTTGATATTCCTTGGGTCTTGTATACACAAACATGACACACTCCGGTTTCATTGTATCCTACAATTGAGTTATTACCGCAGATCTCCGGGGAAGTTAGTTGTGGCGTTAATTATAACTGCACTGATTTATCGACACTTCTATTATCGTTTGTTGAACATATGCAATATATATTTTTCTTTCATTACTCACTTTGTATTGACACCAAAGTTTACTGTGTGAGGTATGTATAAATAACGTGATTCTCTTTACAGAATATTATATTGGCATGTGCGTAAGTGAAATAAATAAAAAGTAAATTAGGAGTCGTAAATCAATGTACATGAGACATATATTTTACTATCAGATAAGAACCGATTAATTTTACATTAATTATATTTCTTGAAAGCTGTAGTTCTAGGTTATATCCAATTGATTAATGCATACAAACCCAGTATAGCTTTGTATAGCATCTTGAATCCTTTGTATATTCCGGAGGAATCAGTTCGTAGTCGAACACTCAAGGCGTTCCCCACGCTGATAAAAACAGGTCTTTCGCTACCACAGAATTTGCCGAGCTGGTAGGAACCTATAATAGAGCATTATATGTTCACTAATGTCAGAATTTCTCCGAATACCATCATTCAAAACTGACAGAGAGAAATAACCATACCTTGTGCAGACGTTTACGTCAGCATGTTTTTCACGAGCAGGCTTCTATTTGACTGTCAGAGGCTAAAGAAATTGTGACAGGTAATGTTTTCTTTGGTAAAATAATTTCTTTTGAATGAATATTTTGATTTGAACCAACAAGTGGGACGAGTGTGTTAAAGTGGTCGAAGAAACGCAAAGTAGCTGTTGTTGCTCAAATTCCATGAAATTGCAAGAACCCTGATATAGACGAGAAAAACGACCAACATTATTAATTTTGAAAGGCAAGACAACCAGGCCCAGTTGTCAGAAGTGCAGAAATCAGAAAACAAAATCTCTATTAATCGTTCTTGAACAAATTCGATATGCCACGCCTCGAGAGAAAATGACGGATGGAGAGGTATTGGAACAACAAATTCAAACCACCCAGGTTTAGTCAAGCAACCCTAACAGCCCGTATCTGGCAATAGGCGTGAATTCGCGTCTACGGCATCCGCATAAGCTAACGCCAGAGCATCGCCATCTAAGCTGGATCAGACAATGCTTGGGGGAGGGGAGTGAGTGTAGGAAGGATCTTTACACCGATGAGTTATATTCACTTCTTCGCCGAACTTACGACAGGATCTGTGACCGTTACATTGGTGTTCTAGAAAGGAATTCTTTTGGAGGTCGGGACGTTATAATCTGGGGTGGGATAACGGAAAGCAGCAGGCACACCCGTGATGGAGGAGAACTTTTGAATGCTGTGAAGTACATTGTGTACCGATACGAGATTTTGCAAATGACGTCTTCACCGGTTTTACAACAGAACGGAACGACCTGGCATGATGTTTCAACACGATAACGACAGATCACATGTTTCTCGAGTTGTACGACAGTTTCTTAATAAGAACAACCCTTATGTGTTACCTTAATCCGCAAGATCTCCTGATTTGTCACCCATTGAACAAGTCTCGTGTTACATAGAGCGTCTACGACGTCATGCGATTCACCCAACACGCTGCAGAAATGCTGCACTTTCCTCTGTTGAGGTGCGATAATCTTCCCTGTCATCGACGCATTGTGGCCTCAGTGAAATGACGGTACCATGCCAGCATTAATGTACATGGTCTACACACTTGGTACTGACTGTGAGATTCCCTTTTGTGTTGAGGCTCATTTTAAAATGCCAAATGCGCTTTTTATATGGTCTGTTGAGCATGAACATACCTTGAAACATCCATCTTTTGCAGTGGTTTAAAGTTTAACACGGATACTGTTGTTTGCATGCTACAATACTTTTTGTCTTATAGATCACAATCATTGCACGGAAAACTAACTAAAATATCCCCTTGTTTGACTATGTAGAATGTGGATATAGTATCTCTGAAGTCATCATCATCTGACCGTCTTTGATATAATGAACAAGCATGTACACGTCTCTACTTACCGTACTGGCCGTTGTACACAGTGACATAATCCCTGTCACAAGTTCCACGAGAGGAGATGTTCTGAAGTACCGAGTCCATGGTGTCCAGTTGAATGGTTTGGTTTTGATGTTCCGTTGTAATAGTCCATATACAAGTCTGACGCCTGCAACAGACCCCTGTTGCTGAGTGCAATACAAGTAAGGTTGCGAAATGGTTCGAAAGATTCACACATATAAACGCATGACTAGGTACAGATGTGTATGCATGGCTAGGCATGAAGGAAAGCTTAATCATCAATCCAACACACTCATTCACTTAATGTATGCACAATTAAACACTGGGCAACAAATACAAGACATTTTAGTGCTTCTGTTATCCGATATAGTACCGAAGTTACTCACAGGAAGTAGGCGTTTGGGTATCCAGGGGAGGTAAATGTCTTTCCGGCAGAAGTTGCTACGAGAGGTACACCACACAATCCTTCACCTGGTTGTAACAAAGGGCTCAATTCACCACCCGTAAGATTCATGAGGATCAGCCGGGGCAACTTTGAATTTTTACTGATTTTGAAAGATTCAACGATGTCATGTAAGAATCCTGCATGTTGAATTTTGTCATTGCCAGCGCTATCGAATCTGCCTTATTACACGAAAGAAACATATAGCCAAAACTCCATCATTGCAAGAACTGCTTTGTTTTGAATAATGTTTGAGAGATCAGCGCTAGATGATCGTTTTGTATTTTGGAAGTGGTTCGAATATGTCTGTATTAAAACCAGTCTCTGATTTTGATCATTCAAGCAACCAAATTTCATATGACTGAGCACATCTGCTATTACCTATTGGTCCATGCCAACCTAAGCATTTTGTCAAGGGAGAAATGGAACTAGATTTCTAATTTAGAGGTTTTACGGTACATGCAGTAAAGATTATGGACGGACATTGCAGAGTCAGGGTCATGACTTTACTCACCCGTTTTTTCATAGTATCTAATTAGAAAACCACTTCTGGCTACACTGCTGTCAGTCTTGAACACTACATGGAAATGATGTTGGTCTTTCTTGATGAGAATATTCCATCTGCTTGTTCCACAGATCCTACGCCAATAGCCTCTTCTTTGATTATCTGGTTGGACAAAATGTCATGAATAAGTTTGTTGTTTCGTGAAGTTTGCATAGTTTATAGAGTGTGATTTTTACAACCATAAAAATGTAAAATTTGTTTCCGTGTCAGGAAAATATTTCAGCTCTCACAAACTGTCAGTCATTTTCGATCCTTGATGCGCCGCAGGGATCATAGAACAAAACCTTTATATGTTTTAGATTTTTCTGGATAGCTTATAAATACATAATATCTTCATAATAATAGTACGAGAAGCATGATAATATCATTATATTTCATAAATGATTATTATGTAACAGATTGATGAGGTTTTAAATGTAATACAACTATTTTACCATTATTTATGATGTATATAGTGAGGACGTCATGTGCACAGGTGGAGGAACTTTCGATATTGGAATACACCATTTCGAGTACAACCCTGTAGCCTCGTGTTTCAGGGTAGATATCCCAATAACAGTTGTCATTACTGTAAAATGATGGTATTAGGAACTAAAGTAACAGTTCATGTGTAAACTCAAACATATATTTTCGACATTTATGTTAAATATCAGCATGGCTACATTTAATTCTGCAGTGCTTACATATCAAATATAAAAAATCTTACGAAATAAGCGTCCATCAATGGCGAGCAGATCATTCATAAAATGAACAGAAATGTTTCTAAATATTGCTGTATGGGTAGTTCAGCCTGATAACATTATTCTGCAGTGCTTACTTATCAATGATACAAATGTTACAATAGACATTCATCAACAGATATGAATGTTTTGGATATACATGAGCACACATTCTGGCGAGCAGATCATTCATAAAATGACCAGGAATGTCTCTACATACTTTCTGTAGTGGTCTGGGTAGTTAGGAGATGTGAAATTCAGCGGTTCCCTCTGGGCATGGAGCGTCACATTGCACGCACCTGTAAAACACGTTCATTGTATTACATGCTTGTAAATGGCGTCTCCTTATAACCTTGGAACCAGGAACAATATGACTAAGGAACCATGAGGGTTTAGAAACTGATCATTCTTTACTTGGACTATCTGTTCCTAACATAATGAAACTTCTGACATTATTTTGAATTATTTGCAGATGTACACAACCACATCATCATATGCCCTTAAAAACTAAGGTCATCAAGAACCTGACTATTTAGTGTACATGGAAAATGGTATATCTCATACATTGTGGACATAACTACCCGTTGTAATGGGTCATCATATCATATTCACATATTTGTTTTATGCAAAGAACAGAAAATACAAATGTTCACAGCTGCACAGAGATTCAGAGTGACAAAAAACCTCTTCACCAGGCTGTGTGACAAAAGGGGATGATTTCAACTTCCAATAGTCAACTTCCCGTTCATGTCGAATAGTAATGTGCTTTTTATCACCAGAATTTCAAAGATTACAACATTCAAGCTTTCAAGAAATTTTATGGTAGACATTTGAAGGAAACTTCCAAATTTGATGCATCAGTGATGTCCGATTCTGAATTCTCGATTTATTCCATACATTTCCGAATTATTTCAGATGAAAACCAACTAGACATATCATATGTTTATGACGAGTGCCACCGGTGGCGCAGGATGCGCTCACTTTTTCGTGAACGCTATTATCACTAGTGATTCGTGATTCAGAATCGATTTGTTTACTGAAAAAAGGCAGAAAAATTCAAAGACCACTTTGTATTATTCTGTCAAAATCCAAGCAGAAACTTGGATAAGAAGGAGTGAAGACATGCAATCTCAAATCCATTCCTTCATATAAAACTGTTCCATCAATTGATATTCAATTTACATTTTTCTCTGTGAACTGTAGGTCAGTTAAAAATAAGGCCCTTTCCATTGGAGATTCTTTAATAACCAATGATACTGATATCCTGGTTGTAACAGAAACATGGTAGGGTACAACAATCGACAACCATGTGATAGCAGAGCTTGTACCATCTGGATACGAGATACAGCACGTTCCTCGGATTAGCAAACGTCGAGGAGGCTATATTGCAAAAGAACGAATTGACTGTGAACAGACAAAACCCTTGATCAGAAGAAATGTTCACACATTTCGAACCTATTGAATCCTCGATCCAGACAGGTGAAAAACTGTCCATACTGAGTGTGGTATATCGTCCTCCCCCTTGCTAGCAGAATAGTTTCAGCAAAGATGTTTTCTTCAAGGAGTGGTCAACTTGTCTGGACTGTTTAGCAGTGTTACCACAGGAGATAGTTGTTTGTGGAGATCTGAACTTCCATCTTGAGGATTTATTGAACACAGACACAAACCATTTCCTATGGATACTGGAATCTCACAGGCTGGTTCAGCACGTTAAAGGAGCTACCCACACCCATGGTCATACACTAGACGTACTGATCACCATGGAGGACAGCCTGATTCTAGACCGACCACCGCAGATTGTGTGAAGGAGATCTACTGGCAATAAACTGAATCCTGAACTGTTCCAAACCAAAACCAACACGGCAACGATGCAGGTTTCGCAGATATAGAGCAATCTCCATACTGGCCTTCTGTGAGGACGTTAGGGTGTCTACTGACCTCCAGCTCACTGACGGTCCCTTGGAAGAGCTTGTTCAAGAATATAACATCGGATTTGCTTCTCTGATTGACAAACATGCTTCTCTACAAACAAAGACCATCACCCTGAGACTAAATGTTCCTTGGTACACAGACGAGCTCAGAGAGATGAAGCATTCCCGTCGTGCTGCAGAACGACAGTGGCGTAGAACTAAACTCTGTCCATAAACAGCTCTACAAGGAAAAGTGTAAGGGGTACTCTAAGTTGTTAATCAAGACCAAGAGAGATCATTATTGTGATCGGATCGCTGATTGCAAGACCGATCATAAACAGCTCTTCAGACTCACAAAGAATCTGATGGGACAGTCGGCTAAGACAATTCTACCATCGTGCTCCTCTGACAAGACTCTTGCCAACAAGTTCAGTGATTTCTTCACCAAAAAAGTCACTTCCATAAGAGATGACTGACGGACTGACTGAGTTTAGTTTTATGCCGCTTTTAGCAATATTCCAGCAACATCATGGCGGGGGACACAAGAAATGGGCTTCACACATTGTAACCATGTGGGGATTCGAGCCCGGGTCTTCGGCGTGACGAGCCAACGCTTTAACCACTAGGCTACCCCAACACCCCTCTATAAGAGATGATATACCCTCTTCTGGTCAGAATGTCCCAGGTATTTCGGCGATGGGAGTTGATATGGCGTTTACTGGTAAACGCCTGACATATTTCACACCAATTACCCAGGAAGAAGTACGCAAAGTCATTCTGAAGTCTCCACTGAAATCCTGTGAGCTCGATCCAGTCCCAACATGGTTATTGGAACAATGTCTGGAGCAGGTCCCTCTTCTCATCACAGTGATATTGAATAAGTCACTGAATCTGAAGTTCCACCCAGTTTTAAGAAAGCCGTAGTCAGGCCTCTCCTGAAGAATCCTGGATTAGACAAGGGAACACTGAAGAACTACCATCCGGTTTCCAATTTGCCATTCGTGTCTAAGATCCTGGAAACAGTTGTTTTGTCTCGTCTTCAACATCGTCTAATCACCAACAACCTGCAGGACAACTTCCAGTCAGCCTACCGCACCGGGCACTCCACAGAGACAGCACTTCTTCGAGTTCATCAGGACATTGCCAAGGCTATCGACAACAGGGACTCTGTTGTAATGTTGATGCTAGACCAGTCTGCTGCATTCGACCTCATTAACAATGATATACTGTTTCAGCGCCCCCACTTCACATATGGAATATCAGACAGGGTCCTCACTTGGTTCAAATCCTACATGTGTGGTCAAAACCCTACAAGTAGCAATAGGACCAGCTTTATCGATCGACAAGTGTCTTGAATATGGTGTGCCGCAAGGTTCAGTCCTCGGACCAGTTCTTTACTGCCTGTATTCCAAGCCTATGAGTGAAATATGACGGCAACAACACCTTACATACCACGTTTATGCATATGGCAAGCAGATGTACAAAGTCCTCCATCCATCCACTGATTGGATTTCTGCCGCCAAAACACTGGAAGCATGCATGACTGACATCACCAACTGGACTAACTCCAATATGTTGAAGATCAACAAAGAAAAGACTGAAATGATGGTTTTCAAACCCGAGCGTCACTCACAGGCTACCAAGGGCATTGAGCCGAAAGTTGGAACCAGCACAATCCAAGCTGCAGACTCTGTCAAAAATCTTGGAGTCCACTTCGATAGCACTCTCTCAATGGAAAGGCAGGTAAATGCCATCAGTAGATCCTGTTTCTACCAAATTAGGAACTTTGGGGCCATCAGACCATACATAACAGAGGACTGCTGTAAAACATTGGTGAAATCCCTTGTAACATCTCGTCTTGACTGTGGAAACGCCCTCCTGTGTGGACTGCCCAAGTCTGTCATATCTCGTCTTCAGAGAGTGCAGAACAGTGCGGTTCGACTGTAACAAGGTCCCAGAAGCGTGACCACATCACTCCAATTCTGATGAACTTATATTGGCTGCCTGTGCACCTCCAACGTCAGCACAAGATGCTCACGTATGCTTACAAGGCACTGCATGGCACAGCTCCATGTTACCTCCAGGAGCTCATAACCTCATACCGACCGACACGATCCCTCCGGTACCAAACAGTTTCACTCATCACTGTGACAAAACAAGAACTGTGAAATATGGGGACAGATGCTTCAGCAAGTTAGCAGCAATGCTCTGGAACAATCTACCAGCCACCATCAGAGACTCAGATTATACAACTGTTTCAAAAAAGGTCATCAAAACCCATCTATATAAATATGCTTATACCTCTCAACAATAGACTCTCACTCCTGAACACTGTTAAGCGCCTTAGAGTGGTTTTATATTAAGCCATATAGGGCGCTATACAAATTTCGCATTTTATGTATTATCTAAAAACGACATTGTCCAGCTGTAATGCTGCTGAAACAAATACATGCTCCTGATATAGTCACATTTGCATCACATTTGCGTCACGTTTAACAGAAATTTCTCATGAATGTGGAAAAAGGTTTTGTCGCTTCTGTTCGAAACGTCATCCATGTAAAATGACATGTTTGTGAAATCTTGGCATTTCAATAAAACCGTAAGAGGCTGGGATAGTGTGAATAAATGATAAAATATTCTATTGCCATATAGTCGGACTTCATACTACTTTGTAGGAATATAATGCGTTGCCTCCAAGTCAAAGGACTTATATAACTTATGATTTAGCCGCTGACAATAAAAGGTGCGGATTGCCGTTCACTTCGTCAAACAACGACCCTGCGTTGTTGTTTACCTTACAATGACATAAACCGTCAACCTTGCACCGCCACACACAAGAGCTTAATTACATCCTGAACCGGAGCTTATTCTTCAGGCCGCCTTGATCAAGTCAGATACGTTTTTGGCAAGTGTTTAAAATAGATAAACAGGTTTGCGTA